TAAGTATTAAAACTCAAAAGAGGTTATTAAACTCGCCCATCAATCAATCTTATTCTATGACAAGAATAAGAAATCGAAGACGTTTATGAAGACGTGTGCCGTAGAACTGTCAATCATGTTTCCCGTTGTCCGTTCCGCCCATACAGGACTGGTCTAAATCCTGTAAGATCCGACCACAGGAGAGTTCACTTAAGGATCTCATCCAGGTCATTGCCTTGATGCATCAAATAGATGGTGTCCACTTTGGTTGAAACGCTACTTTATTTCGTTGATTTGTTTGTTTGTTTATGTTGACGAACGTACACTCGTTGAATGCCGTTTTGTTTGTACACTTGTTTTGTTTGGTAACTGACGATCGTACTCCAAGTCAAAAAGGAAATGAAGAAAAAAAAGTTATCGATCTTATTATTGTTTATATTTAATCTCCAGCAATACCATCTTGGTAAATTGAATTCGTTTGAAAAGCATAAGCCCAGCAACTATTTGAAAAAGCCCCCCTCCCCCTCACCCTCCCCGGATCATGATTGGTTGGAAAAACACAAAGTTTTTAGCCAATCAGGATATGACCAAAACAAATGAAAGAAATAAAGAACGAAGAAGCAAAATACTATAATCATTAAACAGAGACATATTAAGCAAGAAGAGGGTGCCTCTAGTATGATGGCAACCCTAGAGATAACACAAAGGTTGATCTGTGGTCTAGTTGTCCCCTGTGTCTGAATGGCATTGGCAGTGGCCTCCTAATAAATCATGTGGCTTCAACTATATTTACCGCGTCCCGCTTCTCCTTGGGGGGGGGGGGGGGCAGAGAAAGAAAAAACGGATAAAGAAAGAAAGAAAGAAAGAAAGAAAGAAAGAACGAATGGATTATAAAAAACTATCCAAAAAATAGCCATTTTCCCCATTATATCATATTTACCCTTTCTAACATCTAGATATTTTGTACACGTAATGAAATTGATAATACAATTTCGTCATACACATAAAATTATGCTAGATAAAATATTTAGAATACAAATAGACCACTGCATTGTCCGATACGAGGTGGCGGATGCCCAAATATTGGTAATTTATAAATTGTAGGAGGGCGCAGCCCCCAGCCCCCAGCCCCCGCCCATACTCCTATGATGATAAGTTTCGGGAGTCTGCTGGACGCTTAACGATCCAGTGACGTCGCTAGAACATTTTACTGAAGATCTTATTCGATGACGCTTTTATGTTATTCAATTTAATGGTAGATGAAACATTGTCATTGAGCTTAGCAGCTTCAAATTAGTTGTCTAACAACAGGAGTTCCAACGTGGCAACAAAACCGCAATTTCTTTCTAACCTCCTTGTGAGGAGGCAAGCATGGAATAACCTTTTGCTCGCTTTTTAAGACCTCTTGGGATTGATACTCAAATGAGAGGGATTTCCGAAGAAATAAAAGCTGCCCTAGAACTGCGTCAAATTATGACATTGTGGATGCTCAGAAGATAAGAATTAAGGCTCTCACGTCATACTGGTGTACAGGGATAGCTTGAAGTTTAAAGATAAGATAGAGCTCAGGCATTGTGAAATAAACTGTCTTTAGTACACAACGATAGAGAACGGTTGATCAATTAGTAGGCCTATATAAAACTGGTGTACAATATGAGGCTTAAGGATCTTTAATATTAATAAGAAATATGCCATTTTCGTTAAGTAATCAAGTTCAATGCACAAGACTTTGTTAAGTGCCTCCTAACAGATTTTTTTCATTTACATGTTACGGACAAATGTATTTCAATATTAAGATTGCAAATTGCACATGTTATTTGTTTGGTATAGGACAAGCATTACAGGCTTTCCCTTCTTTACAACACGCTTCGCAGTTTTCTTTTGGGGTTAAAAATTGCATTTATTAGTGATGTTTTGTCACTTTATGATTGCAGTATATGCAAATAGATTATATATTCTTTGTAAATAATAACAGAAACGTGTTTGTTTACTTCCGATTAAGTGATTAATGAAACTTAAATCGTCATTGTACATTTGCATATTTTAAAACTCCATTTTAATAATTAATAACAAACTAACTAGGCAGTGTAGTTTTGGTTACCCCAAGAACGAACAAATTAATCTGTTTCCAAGCTTTATTGTTTCTATACGAGTTAACTATTTCTTAGCTAAGGAGTTTTGTAATTTAAAAAAAAATTACACTAAAAACTGAACGATGCTTACTTTTAAAATACTTTTTCCTTTCTTACTCAGACGCATTCAACTACAAAACAGCAAAGAAATTGGGAATTCAAAGTCCTGTCTAATGAATTTTACCTGTGGTTCTAGGGAAGTGAGTAGTAGGTTTCATTCCGTGACATCCTGTGTTCCTTATTTGAACGCTATTGTTAAGAGTCAAATTAAGGACAAATCTGAAAGAACCTGCCATTGTTTTTATCAGAAATATTGTTATCTATCCCAGTGTTCTTAGATATCAAGAATACGTGAATTATAAAGTAAACATGTATGAATTAAATACCACAGACACATTTCCCGGTGAAGCAATATCCAAATTAAAGCGGGACTTCACACTTGCGCCCGATTTATAGCCAACAATGCCTAACCGGTACCCTTTGCCCCCCCCCCCATGGTCCCCTTTTTCTTATGTTAATGAGAGCTGATTTAATGAGATAACCACCTGTCATTGACCACGCAGGAGGTCCAATCCCTTCTGGCCAATCTAGTGCACGGGTATAGGCTTTAACATAACCTAACCCCCGTTTCATAAAACTGTTATCAATACAACATGCTAAAATTCTAAGACAAATTTGCTCTCAGCCAATCAAATGCCACGATTTCAGTAGCTTATAACACATTTTGAAACTTGTTATTGATAACATGTTTTATGAAACAAGGCCCTAGTCACATGAATGTGACAGCGTGGCAGCAAGACATGACAGCGGTGCGAATCATCACCGGCCGGCAGGAGATCACGTAATTCAGTCAAAGCTCAGAATCTTTTAATAGCTACCCCTCCTAATCAAGGACGTTTTATCTGTCATTAGTCAGTCCCTTCTTCAAGAACCCAACGATTTGGAGTACTTCCTTTGATGACATATTCTTCTTCAGGCTCAACCATTCGAAGGTGTTAAAGCGCTATCATCGGGCCTCACAATTTGCTTCATCATCCCCAGATAGTTGTCTGAGGTCGTCCTTATATTTAAGTTGGAGGAAAATGACACCGTAAAGGCAGATTAATGGTCTCAAACAGATTATATAGATAACATGATGAATCCAGGATTTTGAGAAAGGAGGAGGGTGCGAATTTTTTTCCCAGGCTATCGTTTTTCCAAAGGAATCCCGACGGCTACATCTAGGCTCTGGCACTTTGAAATCCCACCACTCTTCCAAAAATGTCAGAGAAAGGGACCCACTGCCCTGAATTTAATGATTAAGGGGCATTAAAATGACGTTTTTAGCAACAAAGAGAGAGAAGGGTTTATCTCCTCCGGTTCCCACACAAGACAGAGTACACAACAATCGAGATCGTCACAGGTCCACCCGGGTTCGATTTGGGAAGGCATAGTCATGTTTGACTTTCTCAGAACAATGTGGTCGACAGACATTTTCAAGAAACATCTGCTAAATGCTTTGCTTTGTCATTGGTTTTTTATATTGTTGAAGGTGTTACGATGATAAATTATAATGGACACACCATTTGTTCTCACCTCCTCTCTCTCTCTCTCTCTCTCTCTCTCTCTCTCTCTCTCTCTCTCTCTCTATCTGTCTCTATCTGTCTCTCTCTGTCTCTCTGTCTCACACACACACACACACACACACACACACCACCGCCCCTACTGATCCACCATCTCTGTCTTTCGGTCTGTCTGCCCTCCCTTTCTCTGTCACAATGTCGCTCCTCCCTGGCTTTCACCTCACTCCCTACCTTTTTCTCCAATTTCCATTTTCTTTCGACACTTATTGTGTTTTATATGGATTATATAAAAAACAATATATTTATATATATCACACGATATCAGAAAGCAATTATACCTGATGCTACACTGGCATGTCTTTCTTCTGAGATTTAAATAGGATTTTGATGTGCTTCTATTTCTGTGTTAAATTCCTACTATATTCCATGCTCGCAAAAAAAAAAGAATCTTACCACAGATGGCGTGCTTCATATTTTGTAGAGAGTCAGTTGAAATGGATTCAACTTTCAAAACTATTTATCACGTTCTCAAATTGCACCCCACCCCCTTCATTTCTGCTAATAGGAATTCATCTGAATAACCGTATTCAATACTATTCAATGTATAAGGTTTAAAATCGATGCTCCCACTTTATCATTTTTGAATTTACAATTGGAACTCGCTGCAGAAATATTTCGTTTCATTTTTCATCATCTATTTAACGGAAGAATACAATAGAGAACAATCAAATATAAATTAGTACTTAGCAATCAATATCAAGCATTTCGTTTAAGATCTATCACTTTATAAATGTTCTGAATATGTGTTGGGCTTTTAGCTGGAGTCGCGTATGTACTGTTTGAAAGACATTTCAAAGGAAGTAGATGGCTATGGGCCACTTTATTCGACGTTTTAGTTTCCTCTTGTGGTTTAATCGAGCATGAATCTTCTCTATTTTTATGTCGAAATGATTAATGCTTCAATGGGACTTGGTAACATTGTTTAGATAAGAGAAATGGTGCTAGGGTAGTGACTACAATGATAGATGTACAATTAAAGGTAATCTGAAGTTTGAGTGAAAACGGACCATTATTGATGATCACAATTAGACAAACTGATCTGATCGATTCCTTAATTCTCCCAACTATATTTTTACGATTTAAGTTACATTTTAGGTGAATTTAAATCGTCACAAAGCAATGAATGGGCTCTATATATGTACCATTCCAGACTTTTAAGCGTTGAACGATTTTTAAAAGCCTGTTTTGTTTGTTTTATTCATATTTCATCCCACAAATAAAATGTAGTCACGTACTAGTCGCAATCGCATAACATAAAAAAAAAAAATTCGTGTTTGTCTGTGGTCGGGCGATAGTTATGAAAAGAATACTAAATCTGTGACAATTCATACAAATAAAGAAATTGGTATAAATGTACATTTCCGACGACGTGCTCAAACCACTAATGTTGAACCGCAATGTACTAAATTGTTCTTATCATATTTTAGAACTCATGAATTAAGTGTGCATTATCAGCAATATTGCGGTATGGCTTACATAAAAGAAAGAAAAAGCAATAATTATGATAAAACATAACTTTACAATGATAGAACAGCTATTCATTTAATCACTCATTTACCAAAACACAGCATTACTTATATAGTACTAGAAATATGAATTTTGGAACGAATTTGAATTTAAATCCAAGATTTAGGTATTGCACTTACATCTAAGTTCATATTTACACGCAATGAATTATAAATATTTAAGAATTTCAACAACAAAAATCAACCAACAAGAAAATTCCAATAGCCTTGTCCATTACTTATTAAAATGAGCGAACATTACATGATCCAAATATGATTTCTATGAGACATGACATATGGTATGAAACTGCAAGTTAGTTGATTTTTCGAGAGTCTTTTCGATCATGTTCATCTTGACTGCATCGCAATGAAGAAAGTGATAAAAGCACAATGCAATATTGATTCAATAAAGAGATAATACAAGTACAAAAATAGTAGAGAAAGGGGGTTAATGTTGCCCCATAGATTTCGTCGGCAAATTCAACATGCTGTTGGCAGCTTTTAAAAGCACATTGCTCCTATTTCATTCTGGTGTTATCGTTTGAGCCGTCCTATATTGGAAAAAGAAAACGGATTTAGAAAGTAAAAGTAATAAGTCCTTCCAAACATTGGAGAAACCAGAAATTATTAGTAATGAATAAGGGGGCGTGCACCGACTCCACCCTGTTATGGATACGCCTTTTACCGTTTATGTTACAATGATCATCGTATTCCTTGTCGTCCATCGCTCCTTTCAAAGATTGATTCATTCATAATTACTAAATAAAACACATCCCATCTTTTTAAAGAATAGGTGGGTGTCTAATTACGACTTTTGTAATGTACGACCAAGATGCGCCATCCCCCTTACTGTTAAAGTATATCATTCAGATAATTCTCAGCAACTGGAAGTCTTAAAAATAATTGGTTTGTATGCGATGGCGGTTCACATAATATTATGGGGAATGCTTGTTCAGGAATACGTTCTAATGAATACAGTGTGTCATAATGGATATGTTTATATATTTACAACATTATGCTAAATAATTATTTATACTTGCTTTACATTTGATACATAATGCTCACATTGTGTATGATTTTAAAATGTATGCATCATTTCTTAAAAGACGTACGACTCTGTCAAATATGTATTATTTGAAGATAAAAATATAACAAGTACTTTATACCAGTCGATATTGAATGATGATTGCTATATTTCTACATATTTAAACCGTATAAACATTTCCTTTCATAATTAACCCATAGCAGAAAGATGAACCAATAACAAAATAAGATGAATAATTATAACTATATTTCTAATTTTGAACAGCTTTAAATCACAGCTCATGACCAACAACCATTTAAACTATTAACTCACAAATATATATATATATATGGCACGTCACGAACCTTACAAATATACTATACAAATTCACGTTTCAATTCACTCATTGAAGTAAAATAACTCTTTCATATTTACTGTCTGTATGTCCTCATGCAATTATTGGCAATTTTTGATATAATTGTCGATATAAAAGCAATTTATATATTGATCATATATACATTATATATTAAGTTCATCGTCGGGTGAGCTATAAGGCTCATTGATGGAGAGATATACATTCAATCAATAAAGTTTCTCTCTTAACGTTCTGCTTTCGTCTCTGTCTTTTCAGTACAGTCTCTTCGTGTTATGGCACAACTCCTCCGTGAAAACACAAATCTTTAGACCGATGTATTTGCCGTCATAGAAATCATTTCCGTTTGCAAGTTGGACGTTCTCCGGCCCTGCCGATGCATTGAATGTGTGTAGTTTGTCTTGGTGCTTGCGACCTCCTGCTTGCCTCTGGGTCTGGTGTAGCAGATCTGCCGGAAGTACACCTGGAAGCTATTCCCCGCCAGGGCGTAGACCACAGGATTCACGCAGGAGTTTGAGTACGCCAGGATCAGACAGAACATCCTGAATGCGTAGATGTACTTGGCCTCGTGAGGGTAGTTGGGATCGACGTCGTTCCAGAGGTTGATGGCGTGGATGGGTGCCCAGCAGATGGCGAAGAGCATCACGACGATGAGCACGATCCGAGTCGTCTTCCATTTCTTCGTCGCCGTCTGCACCGAGGAGCCTTCGCTTAAAACCTCAGCTTTGCCTTTACGATTCGCGGCCTTGCCCGACGTGGCAGTGATACCACCCTTGCTCAGCTTCCAAAGATGCGCCAGGATGAGACCATAGCATACGCTGATGATTGCCAGAGGTATAACATACGTAACACCAATGACATATATGGAGTAGAATTTGATAAATCGAGTTGATGTATGGGTATGTGTACAGTAGATGACTGGCTCATTGTAGTAATTATGTTCTCCTGGCTTCGTCGTACCGTAGATCAAGGCAGCAGGTACATGCATCAGCCCAGAGACTGCAAGGCAAGAGAAAGAAGGAATAAGACAATCTGTTGAAAGCCAGAATCCTATCAATTTATACATATTACACCCCTCATGGTTCTCAACAGATGTAAATTAGCGTTCACAGAGGAGGGGAGGTTTATGCATTATCAAGTAACCAAGCGAGATTTTATCTTTCAATCAATCAAGCAGAATAAGACTCAGCTCTTCACTTTCAGGTCACATGATATCACATGAGTCACGTGATCGTTTACTGCAAGCATGCCATTGCTTTCAATATACACATGATAAAAATTGTCCATCACCTCCCTGACCACTAAGAAATTTAATTTCTGATAAACATGAACGACATCCTATAATTATGACAACAATCGAACTTAAGGTTGCAATTGACAACCATTATGAGCCAACGAATCGTTTTTGTTTACAAAATGATGATATATGCTGTGAGACGTGCTGTGAGACCATTTGTATCGACGGATCCATGATTTTCGAAAAATGGGAGGGGCAAGAAGTTTAAAAACGAAAAACCCATCTGAGTGCGTAACATAGTTATGTACAGTTTTATTCGTTACAACGAGAGGAAGAAGAGCAGTCGATTTTCAATAAGTAATATTATTCAATATAAATTGTAATAACTAGTTACCTGCATGGACCTCAATGATTCTATTCCGGACTTGGTGTGGGTCGCACAATTTGTAATCTATAATTCGTGCATTGTACTGAAACAAGTTGATTGTAGTTTGCTTTGTAATTGTGTAAGGGAGTTCGAATGCTTCATTTTCTTCCAAGTTATGTTATCTTACTCAAGGGTAGATATAGTGATTCATGAAATGGAGGTGGCATAACAACAGTTGAATTTAGCTTCTTAAAGTTGATGGGACAAAAAACATTGTTAAAGGCCATAATCTTTTGTGTACTTCAAGGCCCCGTCTTACAAAGAGTTACGATTGACCCAAATCAATCGCAATTTTACAATCTCCCATCTGTAATGTACATAATTATTTGCGATTGGTATCAATCGCAAATAAGTTGCGATTAATACCAACTCTTTGTAAGACGGGGCCCAGGTACACACTAATGAATTTTAAAGGGGTGGTTGTGCCCCTCACCCCTCCGCCGTGATACGCCACTAATCTTACCAATCCAGACGATACAGCAGATGACTCCAGCTCGGAGGATGGTTCTAGTTTGACGAGAAGTGAAGGGGTTGGTGATTACGTAATAGCGATCTACCGTCATCACAGTCAACGTCGCACACGTCGCCTGGACCGTAACCTTTAATTCAGAAAGAACATTGGAGGAGAGAAGGCGAAGATGAGTTAGGGTGATCGTATGGAAGAAAACATAAGAATAACATAGCACACACAAATATGTGTAATCTAATAGATTTTTCATTAATATTTGCTATCTGTATTAACTTTGCTCTAAATGAATTAATACTTTTAACTATGTGTCTTTAGTTTACAGGCCGTCTATACTAGTTTGGCTAGGAGGGATACGACCACCCAGGGTGGTCACTGACAGGTGGCTATCTGATCAACTCAGCTCTCAATTAACATAATAAAAAGAGGATCATGGGGGACCAATGGTCACCGATTAGGCATTGTTTTATATAAAGAGAGAGCAAGTAGCTACAGGTAGTACAGTGGGGCTTTAAGGTTTTTGTATTTCGCTCTTGTAACTAATTAAATATACTTGTACATGCTTATTTTTTACTTTGTAAAGCGCATAGAGAAACTTTCGTTTATTATGCGCTTAATAAATCAATCTTTATTATTATTATTACACAAAAATCACAACTATATACTTTCGAAAAATCAACTGAAGGCCAATCTAAATATCCTATCGTATGTCCTATAGAAATCATGTTCAGATTCCCTTATATCATGAAAATGTCATTTTAGTGTTTGCACATTTCCAAAGGGAACGTATAAGGCCATTAAAATTGCATCGTGTTGAAAAAAAAGATCTTATCGATGATATACGTGATAAGAAGAAAGTACGATGGATTGAAGGAAAGTGAAAGTCAAAACACGTAGAGCATTATAAAGGAAACGTATATGACAAAGAAAAAACATTATAAATCAAGAATAGACACAGCTTTTTGCAATATTTTATATACCTCGATGTCCCTAGATACGCAGATGATATTACCTGAAACACTTAAAGGAAACCGAACCCCAAGAAATGACTTTACTCATTATGAGAGCGCTATTATATTATTGCCCATTAGTCTACAAGATTCACAACCAAAAGGTATGAGTGAGGTATAAAGCGAGAATAATGTAGTTTCTCAGCGCGACATGGGTATCGCCATTATCTTGATAACGTGACGTACTATGCGAAGTTATTTATCAAGTACATGTATTCAAATTTATGGATGCTTCCTTTCCAGACGTATGTGGTGGTGAAGCATTTCATTCACCTGCTATTATCCTTTGTACTACAATTGCCAGAACGCAAATTGCATAAATAAGTTGGTGCTCTTCTGGGGTGAAGGTTTCTCATAAATGAAATAGATTTGTCAACTACTATAGTGAAGTATTTATAAATGAATTTAGTGACATTTTGTTCCTCTGTTATTTATTTTTCACCAAATATAATTTCTATCTTCTCAGTTATGATTTTTCCTCATTGAAAGTAAAGGTTTCGTTATTTATTTACAGATTATTTCCAACTAAAGCTTGGTGCATGATACATATACAACTTCAACTGGTACGTCCCATTTCAAGAAAATGGCTGCGCCCATGTCAAAAGGCATCACATCATGCCAGGAATTTGTTCATTTATATATCTCTTGTAAATTTTCGTAAGGAATATTGTACATCAAGGGCAGGAATACATCTCATTTTCAGAATACCTACACTTATTCTTTGGGGTTAGGTTTCCTTTAACATAAACCAAATTATAGATTTTGAAATATTTTCTTTTTTTCTTATTGTGAGGAACTTTCATACTTCTTACTTTCAGAGTAAAAAATGCAATTACTGTTATTAGCTCTGAATATTACATTCCAATTTTGTTATAAGTATCACTCGGAAGCGAGATATGCATGCCGTTCGTTCTTTGTCCATAGAAGATGAACATGTTTATCATTGATTGTATGGTTTCTCAGGGTTAGGAAAATGCCAATCCGGGTCCTGAGTTGTCTTGAGAAGTAAGGACAAGAAATTGGTGCCACAATTTCCCTATCACCAGAGGAAACGCTTAGCCTATATTTTGTTTATGTTATCTTACATCGCATGGTTCATCACTAAACATTCAACTGCACGACCGAGCATTTAGAGTCAAATCTAACTAGTACCAAGAACATTAAAGTAACCCCTGCGATTAATATGATAAAACTAAATTGCATGAGCTGAACCTTTCCGTACAGGCTTTCAAGAATATTTTTCTCTTATTCTTCTGAATGTTACATGTTTCTCTATGTTGGCATCCTCCCCATTCCATGTTTATACAGTATAGTTCTATTATTTTTTCTTCTGAAAGACAGTCTTCAATCAGCTAAGTTTAATTAGTCTGATTAGCTTTGCATTCATCTGTAGCCAATTGTTAAAAAGCGTCTTTCAGTCCGTATTTCAAATCCAAGTTTCGTGCAAAATCCACAATGGCATGGGGAGGACACGAAAATGTCAAAGTATATTTGTGGTATGGTGTGTTAGTATGTTATTATTCATTATGTAGTACCATTGTGACTTAATGTGAAGGACAAGCTTATATAGCTGACAGGGGCAATCCATCCCATGAGTGGAAAATGAATAATTTAAAATAAAATAAAATAAAGTATTGGCATGACTGATACAACATTTCAGGACACGGAGATTCTTGCATCTTTTAAGATTCTACTTCGGCAGTGGCAACTATGCTTGACATCTTGGGTATCCCCTCCTTCCCTCTCCCCTCCCTCCCCGTACCCTCCACCTCCCCTCCATTCTTCGTGGGATTCCACCAATATATGAATATCTGGATACACCACAGCCAAATAACTTTTAAAAGATCTGAATTTACAGTACGCTTCTTATCCTCTGTCAGTTTAAAATGACATGTTCTTTAAAGGTACTATGTCCCATTTGCAGGCCAACAAAATGCAAAGGTTAAATTCCAACGGCATTTGAAAGATAATACTAATTTAGAACTTCCCTCAAAACAAAAGGGCTTGAAAATATCTATTTGTGGGGGGGGGGGGGGGGGAATAACGACCGTTAGTTGTCGAAGCGACTTTAGTGATTGCAGTCCTTTCATTAAATAGTCTGATTTTCATACCCTTGTACCGAATGATCGTAGGTTTTGTGGTGCGCAAAGATTCAATCAGCTTATTAATGTTGGCCATTAAAGAAGTTTATTGATGTAGACAAATGCTTATGTACCCTTTACAGCCCATGTTATGTATGTTATTACCAAAGAAAAAAGAAGTCAGTCAGTCACTCAATAGTGTCTGAAAGTGAAGTCTAGAAAGTAAACGGGTTTTCTTGCATAATTTGAATACTAGGACACTGCTAACGTTTAAATTTCACAGATAGGACATACGTGATATATTCATAATTCCTGCAAAGTTCTACATAATTTGATGTTGGCTGAAAATGGGACATAGTACCTTTAATGTACTACTTGTATCAAGTTATACGTACATGCTGCAAAAAGGCGTTGAACTTGCATAAGAAATTGCCAAACCTCCATTGGTAGTCTGCATAGAGCGCGGCGGTGAGTGGAGCGCAAGCCAGCATGTAGACGAGATCGCCCACGGCAACATTCAAGATGTAGAAATTCGTTACGCTCTGTCTCATCTTCCGGTACCGTAACACGATGAAGATGACGAGCGAGTTGCCGGCGATGGCGAAGACGGCGATGATGACGAAAATGAGAGGGACGATCACGGATTCGGGTCCCAGGACGGGTGAGCCAGAATAGGTGTAGTTCATGATGCTCATTGAGTAGGAGTAGGAGGATGACTCGTAGTCATTGTAAGGAAGTACTTCGTCCATGGTGATTTTCGATGGAGCTTACGATCAGAGATTCTTGATATGTTTTGCTAGAGAGAAGACAAAGAAATAATATATACGTCACTTATTTTAAGTTATTTTAAAATTTGAATTTGTACTTTTTTAACATATTCGTTATAAAGGATTAACGAGTAAGGTTTCATTACTTACATGATATCTCGTGTTTTGAAAAAGGGGTATATAGGGTTAGGGTTAACCCTAACCCTAACCCTTTGGCAATCCCAGTAAATTAAGAAATAAAATCATGGTTGACCTTTTCAATCCTGATCTTGAGAGCTGAATTACCAAGCTAAAACATTTCAGATGTCAAACTATACGTTTATACCTGAAAATAGATCAGAGTATCTATAACTAACACCTCATTTACATCAAGCAATAGTGACAATAACAGCGTAAAAGGAGGAGTATAAGCCATCAGAATATGAAGACTCCCCAGGCTAGGGATTATTTTGCGTCCACTCCTTTTAAAGATCAATATTTAAAGGTGTCATATTTTGACTTTGAAAGGATTAAATCCTCATTTGCTGTCTCTGTTTCACGCATTATGGGTCAATAGAACTTTGACATAAAACAAACGAGGCAAACATTCTCACAATTCAAATGCTAAAAACGTAGATACATGATTTATCTACATTTTACAAAAAGGTGAGGGTTTAGATAACTATAAACATGATTTTGTCACATGTTTTTGAGATCTAATTTATATCTATTTGGTACAAGCACTGTCGGTTTATATTCTATGCTATTTACAAATTTACTTCCCGATTGCTACAAACATTTACCCTTTAATAGCTTATAATAGTCAGTTTTGTTCAAAGTCCTGATGATAGCCATGACTGATAATAATAAAGAAGAAAATGAGAGTATGATATTGGAAACTTGCCATTCGACCTGAAGCAGTTTAAAATAATCTGAAGATGTGGTGACAAATATAACATATGTGTGGACAGAGTACGACGTCGTAAACTCCATTGTTTAGTTGATATGATTTATAGTACGTAAATTGAAATGTCACTTCAAGATTGATTGTGTAAACTTGTAAATATGTGTCAATACCAACGGCAAACACAAGTCAATCACGGGTTATTATGTTGCCTCTTCATAATTCCCGCGTTGCACTGATGCGCAATATCCTACATACTTCAGAGAATGATTCATAAGTAATCATTTTGAGGATACCGGGTTAACTATCGATCAGAAGTTGAAATCAAAATGTGTTACCATTGATGCATTCATGTTTTCTAACATTAAATCAGTACGTTGCTCAGCACCCAACGCGTGTTCAAATCGCAAGCGTCCTTCGTGAGCGTTGCAGACGACAGCGCAGGCGAGAAAGCAAATCGATAGCGGCGATCGTTCTCGCGATCTAATGGAAACAAACATTTATGATGAACACCGACAAGAATTTGATTAATTCGTTTCCGCGAAATTACAATATCGCATGGGGTTACGTACATGCCTAGCATATGGCATACACCATTAATCAGATTAGCTGACAAGTGGGCAAACATCGAGTTTATTGGATTCTACCGCGGGATTATGATATTCAAATCAGGGATGAATACCTTCTCGATACATATTGCTTGTAGTATTATAGTCACCTTTGGCAAAATACTAATTTACAAATCCGAAACATCAAATCTCCCGTGCACATTGTCAACTTTGGTTTAAAACTATCTGCTATCGACACGGGTTCCAGGCACAGTTTCTGCTTAAAAATAAAGCTTTCAAATTAAAACAGAAATTAATTTTCATGATTGTACACATCAATGTCGAAGATAGCTCCGCGTTGATCCTTTGGCGTTTTTTTTTTTTTTTTTTTTACAGAGACGCATTATGTAATCCGAACGTGAATACTATATTGGATGTAGAATAAGATATTGAAAGTGCTTTTGCCTTGATTTCTGGAAAGCTCCTCTAAAAAAGGAATATTTACCACCCCCCCCCCCCCCCCCCCCATATAGAACAGGGGATCCTTACCACTTTCAAAATACTGGCGCCAGCATTAGTTTTGTGTGAATACGTAGACTGCACACATTGTAACGATATCATTGTGTGTCGCATACACTAATGGTGGGGAAATAAGGAATATCAGTACTTAACATGGCTGGATAAAAATCACCATGATACAATATTGAACAGCTGGTTGCATATGGTGTCTACAGACATATCTTCAATCAATAAGTAGATTGGTACAAGAGTTGCTTCGGTCCCTTGAGGCAGGCGCGTCGCAAGGCGACTGTCAAATCGCCACAAAATTTTGCTCTTATACGAGCATGACGCACGCTCATCAAAATGTTGGGTTTATTTGAATACGCACCCGGGAATTAACAATGTAGGTACGATCTTTTGCCAGTAATACCTTCAACGTAATTCAGCTTTCCCGCGTAAATTAGATAATATGCGACGATGGCAGAGTGAAATACATTAAGGTGAAAACTATACTTGACTTATGACCTTTGCACGCGATGCGTCATCTTCTGAAGTAGGAGTGCGTCAACGATTGGCACGGTCTTTGACGCGCCGTGTATCGTACGCATGGTCAACGCAAAATAAACAGCGCATGTGCTGATTCGATTCACATGCATGCTTGTTGAGCGCGGGTAATATACGCAGTCGAAAGGAAGCATCGTAAGAAATGTGCATAATGTGCAAAGCCCGTTGCACACGAGCGGCTTCGTTAGCGTGATATTTGACGCACCATGTGAAGGTTAAGTCCTTGTGTGCAACGTGCATACCGCTCGTCGCACACGAGGCGTTTTTTAATGACCTAGTACTGCGTCAGCAACGGACGCGGACATGTGAGAGTGATATCGTAAAATGCACATACGTGTAAAATGGAAAGTAAAGCTTGAAACTACTGTCATGTGCACTTATTAGATTCGAACGCTTGAATTACGTCGATCAAAATGAAGTCGAAATGACGCTTCGGGTACAAGGGGCATAATATACCAAACCCTTTGATTCGTCACTGTTTAACAGCTTCATGTATATTAAACATGTTTGACCAATTTTCTCGAATCTAGGGATGTGCTCGCCAAAAGTTCGTCGATCTGTCCTAAGATTAGTTTCATCATACATATGATACCATTGGGTGCGATTAGTTTAAAGTGACTGGAATGCACCAGGGTAGCTGACGAACCGACTAGATTGAACAAGATCGCAACTACTTCCGAAGAATAAACCCTAGGCAATTTTAATGGCCTAACTTGCACGTCACATTTTGAAAAGTGCAAACATTTCAAAGACGTTTTTATGAAGTCCCCAAAAATATGAAATACAAAAAATTACCCCTTATTCATTAAAGGTGAAGGTCTACCCTGATGATAAGTTTGTTTTAATAACATAATTTTTTTCGGGGGGTAATTGTCCCGCTAGGCTGGGTTGATTGCCCAGGGGGTAACTGTCCTAGAACCAGTAACCAGGTAGTAGACTAAAATCACCCTCATTCGTTGATTCTTGTCTCGCATTCATCAAGCGTTATTAAAAGACTGTATCGCCCGAGAAGGAACGAAGGCTGTAATACTGTGAATATCAGCACATGTGCGTCCTCCAAACAAGAAGGAAATTTGTCATCTTGTCACGTTATGACACTTATTCAATGATATCAAGTGAGCCATTATGATTTTCTCACATCCTATTTTGTTCTTATTTCTCATAATTCTTCATCACATTTGCTTTGTACTTCAAGTGCTTCAAGATTGACATGAACTGGAGAGTAAAAGAAAGATAGATTTAGAGAAAGAAAGAGAAAGAGGGAGACAGAGCGCGAGCAAAGTAGAAAGGCAGAAAGAGACATAGACAGAAAAAGACAGAGAGAGAGCGAGACAGAGAGAAAGGGGAAGTATCGTTGAATCATTTTGCGCGAATATTAGTTCAATGACCTGGTGGATTTCAATTGATTTCCACACTTGCTTTGGGGCGATTTCTTTTTTGTGCAAGGTCATGTTAAATTACAGTCATTCAGACACATCAATCTTCCGTATTGTGTTGTTTTCATTTTAATTTCAAAATCGAGGCAGCCATCTGTCTTTAAGCTCAGTTTTCTTCGTTAGAGCTTTGAATACACTTACCTCATCAATAACAAAACTGCTGTCGGAAGCACGAAAACTCAACTTCCTAAAAACTGAGACCTTCTTCTCTTTCTTTTCTATACAAATATTGGCCATATTATGTATGAACTTTTCTGTACACCTATGTGACAAAGTCATATTTTTTTCTTCAAGTTTTAAATCTTTCTATTTTATCTAAGCAAAGTAACTTTAAGAAGATACACACAAATGTAAAAAAAGATGGGGACGGGGGAAGGGAGGGGGGGATACTACACTGATATCGAAAACGATGATCGCCATGATGACTAATTGATCACAATTAGTTTTCTAACACATCGTATTCCTATCATTATTTGCTTTAGACTTTTATATTTGGTCCCGACAAAAGCAAACAACTAAAGAGATCAACTTTTATCAAAGAAATAGAAGCTTCCCTTCAGTAAACATGGACAATGATTTGATTTGATTTTTATTTGATTTCATTTTTATTCATGGTCTTTTTTCTAAGTTTCTAAAGTAATTACAGCATAATCATGATAATAAAACAAATTATATGATTACTTCATCAACGTAACAAATTTACATTGTAACACTAACATAAAACTATCATGAGGGATTGCCACATAAGCTAAGCTTAAAGGTGTGGTGATCCTTTTGAAAAACTTCATAATTCTTATATACAAACACGATGTTGGGGGATGGGAGAGAAAAGGATGTATGAGAAGATGACAAGATAATGATGTATAATCATCCTAAATTTACAATATCAAAACAAACAATGCAGAATTAGCATCATGCCTTTTCCATATCGTCGAATATTACGAGCTTGTTCGACCAGTCAATGGGTGGGGGGGGGGACATCTAGGGACACTGCGTGAAAAGCTATACATCTAGGGTGCCCTTCTTACCCCCTCCTCTCCAAGAGCGATCGGATATGGATTCATTTAGAGTGAGGGTGCTTTACTGGAGGAAC